TTGGAAAAGGACTGACAGGGTTACAGAATAACAGAGTTGGAAGGGACCTTGGAGGTCTTCTAGTCCAGCCCCCTTGCTCAAACAAGAGACCCTTACAGAATAACAGAGTTGGAAGGGACCTTGGAGGTCTTCTAGTCCACTCCCCTTGCTCAAGCAGGAGATTCTTACAGAATAATAGAGTTGGAGGGGACCTTGGAGGTTATCTAGTCCAACCCCCTGATCAAGCAGGAGACCCTGTACCATTCTAGACAAATGGTTTTTCAGACTCTTCTTAAAAGCCTCCAGTGATGGAGCCCCCACAATTTCTGGAGTCAACCCATTTCACCAATTAATTCTCATTGTTAATAGAAGAGAAGAGAATATAGAATAAACAACAGCATAGACTATAGAATAGAATGTAGGATAGAGAATAGAATAGAATGGAATTGGAACAGGAACAGAACAGAATCTTTATTGAGAATAGAATAGAATGGAATGGAATGGAATAGAAGCTGGAAGGGACCTTGGAGGTCTTCTAGTCCAGCCCCCTACTCAAGCAGAAGATGCAATTAAGGAAAAAGAGCTAAGTGAATATTATATGATTTGGGAAGTATTTTACTAATGGCTGGAGAATAAAAAAGGAGTTTGGAAATGAAGAAGGCTAAAAAGTAAGTAGAAAATATATCAAGATAAGAGATATAATTAAGATGAAAATTGTTAGTATGTGTATGATGGTATTATCACTAGAAGATATTAAGAAGAAAAATGGAGAGTTTTATAATGTTTAAATGTTTAATATATTATAATAATGTTTAGGGAAATAATGTTAATATAAATGTGGCAAATGAAGAACGATGTTGCACAGAGGTGTTTGTATCCAGAGGACACACGGCCTAAGGAAAGATGGAATGCTTATTTTGTAACTGAATTTTTTTTTAAAAAATTATATAAAAAAGAATAGAATAGAATAGAATGCAATGCAGAATAGGAATAGGAATAGAAGCTGGAAAGGATCTTGGAGGTCTTCTAGTCCAGCCCTCTGCTCAAGCAGAAGAACCTAAGGAAATTTCTCCTTAGTTCTAAATTTGTTTCTCTCCTTGGTTAGTTTCCACCCATTGCTTCTTGTCCTGCCCTCAGCTGCTTTGGAGAATAGCTTGACTCCCTCTTCTTTGGGGCAGCCTCTCAAATACTGGAATGCTGCTATCCTGCCTCCCCTGGTTCTTCTTTTCATCAAACTAGACATGCCCAGTTCCTGCATCCCTTCTTCTTATGTTCCAGTCCCCTAATCCTCTTTGTTGCTCTTCTCTGCACTCTTCCCAGAGTCTCAACATCTGCAGGACGGGACACACGAGTGGCATACCCTGATTGGCAGCTAAAAAATCAGCAAAACTGATTTTTAGCTTTGACCTGCTGCTGCCCTCGCCAGAGTTAGAGGCCAAAGCGAAATCTAAACGCTTTTCATTGAGTTTAGCTTTTATTGATTAGATCCCTGGAAAATGGTTAATAATTTCTTGCTTCGTAATTAAAGTGACCCTTGGGCACAAACCGATAAGGCAGTCTCCAAGGGGCGCCTCCAAGCTTTCAGGGGTGTGTCCTGTGTAGCCCCTGGCAGGTAAGGATCCCACTCGCATAGCAGGCCTCCAAACGGTGCAGATACTTTAAGCATTCCTGAAAAGGTTTCCTCTCTCGTAACGGCTTCGGAAATTGGATTGATTTTTCTCCTTCAAATGGATTTTCTAAATCGGGTGATAATCGGAATCCCACTGGACCCGAATCTGACTTGAAGCAACTGCATTTTGCATGGAGCAGCCAATACCTCCCTGCTCCTTTGCAAAGCCCAAAAACTTCATTTGGGGGCTCTGGTCAAACCACCACCCCAACTAAGACCCTACTCATATGTGCAGATATAAGAGATCCACAAATCCTCCGATAAAAACTATTTCTCAACCTTCGCCACTTTATTATTTTTTAAAATATTTTTATTGTACATTTTTCTTTATAATACATCACATTTCCACTTTTGCAGCGATAGAGTATTGGCTCTTATCTAGTCCTTTTTGAGTATACTTAGTTTTATATCCCCTGATGATGACTAATATTCTCTTAATCATACATTTATAATCTCTTTTAAACACGTAATGGTATACCTCATAGTTATAGGCATTATTTCCATAATTGTACCATAGCATTCTATATATTTATCTCTCTCCTTTCCCCCCTCTCTCCTTCTTTCTCCTTTTCTCCTCTCCCCTCTTTCTCCACTTCCCTCTCTTCTACTCCTCTCCCCTCATCCATTTCCTTCTCTCCTTTCCCCTCCTTCCGTCTTTCTTTTCCTCTTCTCCTCTCCCCTCTCTTCCCTCTCTTTCCCTCTCTCCTAATCCTCTCCCCTCATCCATTTCCTTCTCTCCTTTCCCCTCTCTCCTTCCTTTTCCTTCCTTCTCCTCTCTTCCCCACTTCCTTCTCCTTCCTTCTCTCCTATTTCTCTCCCCTCGTCCATTTCCTTCTCTCCTTTTCCCTCTCTACTTCCTTCTTCCTTTTCCTCTTCTCTTCTCCCTTCTCCTTCCCTCTCTCCTATTCCTCTCCCCTCTTCCATTTCCTTCTCTCCTTTCCCCTCTCTACTTCCTTCTCCTTCTTTTTCCTCTTCTCCTCCTCCCTCGACTTTTCTCTCCTCCTCTTCTCTCCTGTGCCCTGCTCCACTCTACTCCACTCTTGGCCACTGGTGGACTTCAACTCCCAGAATTCCCCAGCTAGCACAGTGACCAAGGTTGGGAAACATGGTACAGGTAGTCCTCGATTTACGACCACAATTGAGCCCAAAACTTCTGTTGTTAAGTTGTTCAGTTAGTAACACGGTTGTTAAACGAATCGGGCTTCCCCCTTTGATTTTGTTAGCCAGAAGGTCGCAAAATGTGACCCCCGGGCCCGTCATAAATATGAGTCAGTTGCCAAACGCCTGAATTTTGTTCATATGTTCACAGGGAGGCTGCAATGGTGTTAAAAAAAAGTCATAAAGTCACTTTTCCCGGTGCCGTCATAACATTGAACGGCCACTAAATGAACTGTTGTAAGTCAAGGACTCCCCGGTATTTCAAGAATATGAATTTAAAACAGGAAAGAGGAAAAAAACTCACCATTTCTCGCCAACGTTTTTGCCGCTGTCGGATAATTCGGGGGGATTGTATTTCTCCAGCTCGGGGACCCCCTTCCGGGGCACAGCGGCGTCTCCCTGGGCTGAGCACATGTAATCCAAGCCCCCCAGTTTCCACTCGCCGGCCCGGTCCACGTAGATCACGCCCAGGCAGAGGTTGTTATGGACCAGGTGGCAGTCGTTGACCAGGAAACTGAGGGCTTTCTAAGGAAGGAAAGAGGGGTTGGGGGCAGAGGAGAGGGTCAAGGAAGGGGTCACAGGTCACGAGCAAGGGCCCGACACCACAACACCCTGAGCCTGGTCAAGGAGGCTGAATTCACACAACCTGCTTGGTCCCTGCAGGGGACACCTCATCAATAGTTAGTCTCCGACTCACAAGAGTTCGTTTTACTATTTAGTTTTCTTTTTTTATTCCCTTAGGTGCCATTGTAAGTATACACTCACAGAATTCTTTTTACATTTGCCATTCTTATACATTTGTTATTATTATATAACCTATTAATAGGTTATAATGTATATTTTGGGTTGCTTTCTTTACCAGCCCTTCCGCCTGTTGTAACACCACCTCCTTTTCCCTTTCTTTTCTCCTTCCCTCCCTTCTCTACTTCCTTCCTTCCTCCTCTCCTTCCTTCTTCCCTTTCTTCTCCCCTACTCTTCCTCTTCCTCTCCCTTCCACCCTCCTCCCCTTACCTCTTTCTTCTTTCCCCCTTCTCCTCTCATTCTCTCCTCTCCCTTTCTTTTCTCCCTCCCTTCTCTACTTCCTTCCTCCTTTCCTTTCCCTTCCTTCTTCCCTTCCCTCTCCCCTACTCCTACTCTTCCTCTTCTCCTTCCTATCCTCTTTCCTTCTCTTTCTCTCCCTTCCATTCTCCTCTCCTTACTTCTTTCTTCTTTCCCCCTCTTCCTTTCATTCTCTCCTCCTCTCTTTTTTCCCTCCCTTCTCTACTTCCTTCCTCCTCTCCTTCCTGTTCCTTCTTCCCTCCCCTCTCCCCTACTCCTACTCTTCTCCTTCCTACCCTCTCTCCTTCTCTTTCTCTCCCTTCCATTCTCCTCTCCTTACTTCTTTCTTCTTTTCCCATTTTCCTTTCATTTTCATTTCCACTTACTACCGTCACAACATCCCCATGGCCACATGAGTTACATCTGGATGCCTGACAATGGATTCATATTTATGACCATTGCCGTTTCCCCCCCCCCCCGGGATCACATGGTCCCCTTTTGCGACGTCCTGACAAGCCAAGCCAGTGAGGATGCCAGAATCACTTAACAACTGCCTTTCTAACTTACCAACTGCAGTGATTCACTTAACGACAGAGGCAAGAAAGGTGATGAAATGTGGCAAAATTCAATTAACCAATGTTTCATTTAGCAATGGAAATGTTGGGCTCAGTTGTGGTCATAAGTCGAGGACTGCCTCTGTGTGTGTGTGTGTGTGTGTGTGTGTGTGTGTGTGTAATATAATCCCTATTTCGGTTAGGTGGTGACTTGGAACAGTCACTAAGCGAACAGTCATAAGTGGAGGACTACTAGTATGGAGGAGTCTAACCCAGTTCCCCTACCCCCTCCCCACGATACCAGCCTTCCCAGCACTCACTGCAATCTGGTGAAGACCCCAGGAGATTTCTGCCTCGCTCAGGCTCTTCCCGTCTCCCCGCGACTCCAGGTAAGCCGGCAACGGTGTCACGGGCTCGGTGACCACGTGTAAACTCTTCTCCGTCTGCAAAACCAAAGAAGGAAATGTGATTCTCACCATGGGGGAATATGGGGGCTGGCGGGGGGGACGGGACTGCAGGGGAGCGTGTCATGAAAACCATCACAAATGGTTGGGCAAACAGACCTTTGCCAGCACCCCAAACACACAGCAGTGGCTCTTCTGTCCCAAGGACCAGCCCATAGATTTCCTCTGCTCTCCTCTCCTCTGCCACATCTTTTCATCTCCGCCCCCTGCCTTTGATCCCCAGAGCTAGAGTGGGGCTTTGCTAGGAGCCATGGCTCTTCCGTCCCAAGGACCGGCCCATAGATTTCCTCTGCTCTCCTCTCCTCCGCCTTCTGCACATCTGCATGTCAGGCGCTGAACCTCCAGGCTTGGGGCTGTTGACTCTCCATCTGGGAGCTGACGGACAGCCCAGGCTCCACCTCTGGCTCTCTCTCTCTCTCTCCGACAGCTCCCTTCCCTCTCACCCCTCTGATGCTGACCCTGAGTCCCACACCTCCTCCTCCGATTCGGCTGTTGGAGGGCTGGCAGCCACAACAGCCTAGTTGCAAATGTGCTGGTTCCAATAGAAGAGAACATTTGTAGCTCGGGGATGGACTGCAGGGTCCCTGGTGTTCTCTGAGTTTGGTTAGTTTTCTTGCAGATTTTCTTTCACAGGGATAAATCACATTTACACAGCTTTGACAAAGGACAATAGAAAAGCTAAGAAGGAAATAACAAGACCAGGAAACATTCTCTCTAGGAGGCAACAGCCAGATAAGCAGGGATTAACACCAGACAAACAATGGAGCAGAAAACCGTTTCCCTGATCCGGGAACCACCAAGGAGAAAATCACACTGAACCAAACGACTGTATCTAAACAGGGAACAAATTCCATATTCACACATGCTAATGATGTTGGGTCATGACACGTTTGCAAGGCAACAACCAAGCTCAGACAACTGCAAGGGGCCCGCAGAAAGAGAAAGCCAGATAAGCAGGGATTAACACCAGACAAACAATCCAGCAGAAAACAATACCCTAATCAAGGAGAAAACCTTCTCTCCATCAAAACAAGGAAGGGATTTTATATAAACTGTGCAAACTCCACACTCACTTCCAACTGATGATGTTACCTAGCTAGACAATGAAACATCTCAATCAATGAAAATACTTATAGCTCAGATTTGAAATGAGAAGTCCTTGATACTCAACAACAACAACAACAATAATTGGAGCCTTTGGAGCAATATTTAAAGGGCTACCTCGCTATTTGGAAACTCTAAATTTATCAGACTAGAACATTCTGATTCTACAAAAAACCACCCTACTTGGAACAG